TCTATCTAATTTAAGCTTATTGTATATAAAGGCCCTCCCATCACTGATCATGGTACCTAGCTGGGTAATGAAGCGTCTGGAAGAAAGCCACTGAGACCCCTGGTCGTGTTACCTCTTGCTGGTTGTCCTCCGGGTCCATGACGATCGGCTGGGTCACAAGGACACCCAGGAGGGTGGCCCAGGTCTCCTCAAACTGCATGCGGTTTGTCCACCCTAAGGGCAAAAACCACAGGCTTGCCGTAAGACGGGCAGCTTGATCAATATGACAGATAAATAAACATTTAGTCCCCCGGAATCCAGAGCCTCTGACGCTTCTTCACTGAAAACCGGAGGGACCGCAAAGTAAGGAGAAACAAATGTCACAAGGGTCTCGACAGGTGGCCTGTGGGCCCACAACCGACTCGTTTCTTCTGGCAGTCAAACTCTGAATCCAGAGATGTAAACTGCTCCCCTGGACCGCACAGAGCAGGGCTGTGGTGGCCCAGTGGTTAGAGTGCAGTATTGCAGGCTAATTCTGCCCGCAGTTCGATCCTGACCAGCTCAAGGCTGACTCAGCCTTCCACCCTTCCGAGGTGGGTAAAATGAGGACCCAGATTGTTTGGGGGGGGGGGAGAAGAGGCTGACTCTGTAAACTGCTTAGAGAGAGAGGGCTGTCAATCACTGCGAAGCGGTATATAAGTCTGCTATTGCCCTTCCTTCCTTCCTCCTTTCCTTCCCTCCCTCCCTCTCCTTCACAGTGGTTAAAATGCGGCATTGCAGGCTAACTCTGCCCACTGCGAGGAGTTCGATCCTGACCGGTTCAAGGCTGACTCATCCTTCCATCCTTCCCAGGTTGATAAAATGAGGACCCAGATTGTTGGGGGGGGGGCAATAGGCTGACTTTGTAAACTGCTTAGAGAGAGAGGGCTGTCAATCACTGCGAAGAGGTATATAAGTCTAAGTGCTGTTGCTATTTTCCTTCCTTCCTTCCTTCCTTCCTTCCTTCCTTCCTTCCTTCCTTCCCTTCCCTTCCCTTCCCTTCCCTTCCCTCCCTCGCTAATTCTCCCCACTGCCAGGAGTTCGATCCTGACCAGCTCAAGGCTGACTCAGCCTTCCCTCCTTCCCAGGTCAGCAAAATGAGGACCCAGATTCTTGGGAGTCATAGGCTGATTCTGTAAACCGCTTAGAGGGGGCTGTAAAACACCGTGAAGCAATATCTAAGTCTAGGTACTACTGCTATTACTGCCTCCATGTCCCTGTTCTCAGGATCTCTGCCAGGGCTGGCTCTTCAGACCTGCAACGGCTCTTCGGGATGGTGGGAGAGCTACAGGCAATTCACCCAGAGTTGCGAGCTTTTTTTAAAACGGGGATTTTAAAATTTTAAAATTCAGAGTGGCCACAGGAAAAGAGTTCTGTGTATTCTCGCTTTGACAATATGCAGAACTGTCTGGTATTTATATAGTTAAATCAGGCAACAGTGAAAGCCGGGGAAAAAGAAACCAGAAGTAAATTAAGTCGTCCAAGTTAATGGGAAGATGTGAACCATGACCCCAAAATAAGGGAGGGAAAAATGCTTAATATGTATGTGTAACGGAAAAGGATCAGATCTAAGCACTTTTCCACCATGCCGTACTGACGTCTCTGTAACCTTAATAAATGCTTTTAGGAAAAGATATGCCTGAAAGTCCTTTTAAGTGTTTCGTTAATCAGACACATGACACAACCTACAACCCAAAGCCTTCAAGCTTTTCATCGCTGGAGCTCCTTCCCAATCTTGGTACTTACCCAGGGTGTTAATTCGATAGATGAATTCCTTGAAGATTTCTCGCTCTTGAAGAAACTCTACAGGGATTTCCGGAAAGGTCGTGCTGAATTCGCCCGTCGGCTTTGGGGACCAGCCCAACCTCCAGACCTATCGCGACACAGAAAGGTGGGGAAAAAAATACAGGCGGTCCTCAACTTACAACAGTACGTTTAGTGACCGTTCAGAGTTCCAACGGCACTGAAAGCAGTGACTTATGACCGTTTTTCACAGCGACGAGCTTTGCAGCCTCCCCCGTGACCAGGTGATCGACATTCGGACGCTTGGCAGCCGGTTCATAGTTATGACGGCTGCCGTGTCCCGGGATCGTGTGATCCCCTTTTTGTGGGTCTTCATCTTTCCCTCCCTTTCCCTCTCTCTCTCTCTTTGTCTTTCTCTCCCTCTTTCTTTCTCTCTCCTTCTCTTTCTCTCTCTCTCTCCCTTTTTATCTCTTTCCTTCTCTTTCCTTTTCTCTCTTTTTCTTTCTCTTCTCTTTCCGTCTCTCTCTCTCTCTTTCTGTCTTTTTCTTTCTCCCTCTCCCTTTCTATCTCTTTCCTTTTCTCTCTTTTTCTTTCTCTTCTCTTTCCTTATCTCCCTTTCTCAATTTGTCTCTCTCTTCGTCTCTCTCTTTCTCTCTCCTTTTCCCTTTCTCTTTCGCTCTCCTCTCTCTTCATCTTTCCCTCCCTCTCGCCCCTCTCTCTTTCTGTCTTTCTCTCCCTCTTTCTCTCTCCTCTCTTTCTCTCCCTTCTCTCTCCTCTCTCTCTCTCAAAAAAAGTCACAACTCACTTTTTTCAATGCCGTCTGTTGTAACTTCGAACAGTCACTAAACAAAACATTGCAAGTCGCGGACGACCCACAACTGCCGTGTCCCGGGATCGTGTGATCCCCTTTTTGTGACTTATCAACTTAACCACTGTGGTGATTCACTTAACAACCGTGGTAAGGGAAGGCGTAAAACGGAGGCAAAACTCGCTTAACGAGTGTTCTCGCTTAGCAACATAAATTTCGGGACCAACCGTGGCCGTTAAGCCGAGGACGACTTGCATATTAATACTAGCCATTGGGAAGCGGTGCTTTTTTTCCGCATTGCATTCCTGAATAAAGACCGATATTAAAAAAAAAAAAGGAAGCACGCGTTTGCAATAATAAATACAGCTGTCTCCAAATACAAAGGTTGGGGTCTTTGCTCCTTGGAAAAGAAGAACGGACCAAGCAGGAAAAATTCAGCTTCCCAGCTCGATACGTACCAGGAGGGGAATCCGCGCGTAGCTGTTGACTAAGGGCAGCCGAGAGAGGCTGACGATGATGTTCTTCAGAACGGGGGTCAGGAAGGCAGGGATGGGGCGGTTCTCCTTGTGCCCCAGAGCCAGGACGGACTGCAGGCATTCCACCAACTCTGCCACCACTTCGCAAGTGGCTGTAATATACTCGGAATCTGAAGTGGAGAATAAAGCAAATATGTATTATGATAAATAAAATGGAAGTTAAGAACTGGGAGTATCTATCTATCTATCTATCTATCTATCTATCTATCTATCTATCTATCTATCTATCTATCTATCTATCTATCTATCTATCTATCTTTAATATATACATCCCTCTAACTCTTCCTCTCTCATCTACCTACCTACCTACCTACCTACCTATCTATAATATATACATCCCTCTATCTCTTCCTCTCCTCTCCTCTCCTCTCCATCTATCATCTATCTATCTATCTATCTATCTATCTATCTATCTATCTATCTATCTATCTATCTATCTATCTATCTATCTATCTATCATCTATCTATCTATCTATCTATATCTATCTATCTATCTATCTATCTATCTATCTATCTATCTATCTATCTATCTATCTATCTATCTATCTATCTATCTATCATCTATCTATAATATATACATCCCTCTATCTCTTCCTCTCTCATCTATCTATCTATCTATCTATCTATCTATCTATCTATCTATCTATCTATCTATCTATCTATCATCTATCTATCTATCTATCATCTATCTATCTATCTATCTAATCTATCTATCTATCTATCTATCTATCTATCTATCTATCTATCTATCTATCTATCTATCTATCTATCTATCTATCTATCTATCTATCTATCTATCTATCTATCTATCTCATGTATCCTATCCTATCCTTCTGTCTGTCAGTCTATGTCTACCATATCATGTATCCTACCTTATTCTTCTATCTATGTCTACCATATATCCTATCCTATCCTATCCTATCCTTCTGTCCATCCATACACCCATCCATGCATCCATCCATCCATCCAATTTGGTATTAAATGCATGAATATATCTTTAATGTGTGTATGTTTTCTGACTTCCCAAGGCTAGCCACCAAAGGGAAACTGAGTCTGGAGAAGACATGATAGGGAAAAGTCATTTCTCAACCTTTCTCTTACAGACTCAACTCCAGCTACCATCTGCCTTAAGACCACACCCTCCTAATAAGTCTTACTCTGAAGCCTTCAGAGAAATTTCCTGTACGTAATCCCAACATGAAATTCACATCTAACTCTTTAGTTGCGATGTATTTGCAGCCACCATCAGTCCAGTATAACTCTAAGCTTAGCTATGCTGTATGTTCACCTATGACTTATATCAAATCACCAACCCCTTCACGCATACGTAGAGTCAGTTTTATCCTTACTTGGTGTTTGTGAACCCCTTCCATCATTCTCGCTGGCGGCCTTCTGGATCGTCTTCCCTTTATCTGGACTCAGCAGGCGATTTCCCGGCTCAATTGCCACTAAATCAGATGGAGGCAACAAATATTTTCCAAAACTGATCCTTCAAAGATTGTACAGGTTGTACAACTTCAGCAAACGTGAAGACATTTCAGAATACAACTCCTAAAGGTTTTTTTTGCCTCGTGCCTGGAGTGAGTGGAGTTTTTTCCCCCCAGGATTAGGGTTAGGTCACCATGAACTCATAGAGCAAAATGGACATCGCCAACAAACTGGGAATGCTTGGGTATGGTTAGGAGGGCACTGACTTTTCTAGGCTGCCCTATCTGTGTTTCCTGGTAAAATACATGGGAAAATCCCATTGGAGGAAAATTCCACTTAGGGTTAGGTAAGCATGAATTCGGACAGCAAAATGGACATCGCCAACAAATTCGGAGTGCTTGGGTATGGTTAGGAGGGCACTGACTTTTCTAGGATGCCCTATCTGTGTTTCCTGGTAAAATACATGGGAAAATCCCATTGGAGGGAAATTCCACTTAGGGTTAGGGTTAGGTCACCATGAACTCATAGAGCAAAATGGACATCGCCAACAAATTCGGAGTGCTTGGGTATGGTTAGGAGGGCACTGACTTTTCTAGGCTGCCCTATCCATGTTTCCTGGTAAAATGGTACCCTTTTAGGGTAACCTCCCTTTAAGGTGAATCCCAATCCCAATCCAGTGGTACTTGAGTCTCTCGTTTTACCTGTAGCCGGTTGTTTAAACCTCACGAACCCATACCAATCCTCCCGTGACTGAAAAGATCCTACGGGATAGACACAAAGGACCATTTTATGTACCCTTTTAGGGTAACCTCCTTTTAAGGTGAAAGGGTTAGGGTTGTTAGGTCAGCATGAACTCGGAGAGCAAAACGGACATCGCCAACAAATTCAGAGGGCTTGGGCGTGGTTAGGAGGGCACTGACTATTTCAGCCTGCCCTATCTATGTTTCCTGGTAAAATACATGGGAAAATCCCATGGGAGGAAAATTCCACTTAACTTCCCTCACTCCACTTGCATTCATTTAGTTTGAGAGAGAGAGAGAGCAGTCCGGTGTAGTGGTTAAAGGCACCGGACTGGAAGACATGCTTCTTAGACCTGCTCTCTAGGCACATCTGTAGGAGCTTGCCTGGCTGGTTCACCTGGAATCGAGACCGACTTGAAGGCATTAGAGAAAATAAAATAAATAACACCTGGCCGTAGCCTCTCGTTCTCGGCTGCCGAGGGTGGTGAAATGAAAGAAAAAAAAATAATTCAGAATTCAGACAAACAAGGGGAATTGATTTCCTGGGATGCAACTGACCCGAAAAGTGGAAACTTATAAAAAGTACTAAGGAAAATCTCATGGAGGGGGCTCACCTGCTTCCAGGATGAATCGGGTGCAATGGATTAACGAGGAGGAATGGCTGGTGTACTCTGCAGATGCCCAGAGACTCCACAGCTCAGTCTGTTGCAATGCCAGGCAACAGCAATCCAGCACTGCCTGGAGATCAATACTTAGGGGGACCTGCTTGCATATTAAGTGCCAAGACAGGATCTGTTAGGACAAAAAGAAATTGACAAAATAACAGAGTTAAATTTCAGAAGTTGCAAATTCACAGGTTTGAATTAACAGAATGGCAAATATAAACACTCTCTGCAATTTTTTAAAAATTGAAACTATATCATAATTCACAGAACAGGTCAGGCAAAGAGGTGATGCTTCTAGCGCTAACTGTTTAAATTATGCACAATTTTAATGGACGAATTTCAAATTCTGGGAATGGGCAGAACGAACGAAGAGAGGAGAAGAAATCAGGAAGAGCCGACATGGATGACTGCTTCTTGCAACTGATCAATTGCCAACACCTGCTCAACTTCCTGAGTGTTGCTGCCAATGGTTTATTCGATTTATAAGGCACCTAACTGCAAGCCACTCAAGTTAGTTTTTAAAACAAAAACAAAAAAACAACAGCTTATACAATTATATGATTTGAAATTACAAAGCTTGTTGGAAATATCAACCCCTTAAAGCTTTTCCTGGTGTTGGTGCCTTTAAATTATTTAAATCAACTTTAAATAAATAAATAAATAAATAAATAAATAAATAAATAAATAAATAAATAAATAAATAATAATAATAACAACAACAACAACAACAACAACAATTAATTGGTGCCTTGGTAAGAGCACACTTGGAATATTGCATCCTGTTTTGGTCACCACAATATAAACAAGATGTTGAGACTCTGGTAACAAAGTGCAGAGAAGAGCAACAAAGATGATTAGGGGACTGGGGGCTAAAACATATAAGGAACGGCTGCTGGAATTGGGTAGGTCTAGTTTGATGAAGAGAAGGACGAGGGGGGACATGATAGCAGTGTTCCAGTATCTCAGGGGCTGCCCCAAAGAAGAGGGAGTCAAGCTATTCTCCAAAGCACCCAAAGGCAGGACAAGAAACAACGGATGGAAACTAACCAAGGAGAGAAGCAACCTAGAACTAAGGAGAAACTTCCTGACAGTTAGAACAGTTAACCCGTGGAACAACCTGCCTCCAGAAGCGGTGAATGCTCCAACGCTGGAAGTTTTTAAGAAGAGACTGGACAGCCATTTGTCTGAAATGGTATAGGGTCTCCTGCCTGAGTAGGGGGGGGTTGGACTAGATGACCTCCAATGTCCCTTCCAACTAGAGAGACGTGAAAATAAGTTATGATAGGCAGAATTCACACTCAGAACCCAGTAAACAAATCAGGGCTAGGCCTTCTTGTCTAGAATAAAACTACCGCTTCCTTTACGGGAGGTTATCCAGGAGGACAAAAAGCCAAAAAAATACAGAAATCATAAGAAGTCCAACTCAATCCAGCATTTCAAATTATTTCCCAGGTAACAACCATCCACAGCAGAATTGCAGCACTAAAATAACCGGTAAGATTCTCTTACGGTTTTTCATTTTTTTTAAAGAAAGCATCATCATAAAATTATCTCACATATTTTTCCCCCCCCGATATCCTGATTGCCTTACCTCTAGCAGCATTACCACAAACTTCACAATGTCACTTTCCTTCTCGCGGGGAATGCGAAGAGAAGCTGGAAGTTTGGAAAGCAACACCAGATACTGACTTAAAGCCTGCGCTAGAACCATGGTGAACTGAAAGGTTTCTGGGTCTCCTGTAGGGAAAAAAAACACACACCGTCGTGATACAATTCACACTGTGATTTGGTCTCCTCTTTCAAATAGAATAGAATAGAATAGAATAGAATAGAATAGAAGAGAAGAGAAGAGAAGAGAAGAGAAGAGAAGAGAAGAGAAGAGAAGAGAAGAACAGAGTTGGAAGGGACCTTGGAGGTCATTTAGTCCAACCCCCTGCTCAGGCAGGAAACCCTATACCATTTCAGACAAATGGCTGTCCAGTCTCTTCTTAAAAAATTCCAGTGCTGGAGCATTCACCACTTCTGGAGGCAGGTTGTTCCACTGGTTAATTGTTCTAACTGTCAGGAAGTTTCTCCTTAGTTCTAGGTTGCTTCTCTCCTTGCTTAGTTTCCACCCGTTGCTTCTTGTCCTGACTTCAGGCGCTTTGGAGAATAGCCTGACTCCCTCTTCTTTATGGCAGCCCCTGAGATATTGGAAGACTGCTATCCTGTCACCCCTGGTCCTTCTCTTCCTTAAACTAGACATACCCAATTCCAGCAACCGTTCCTTGTATGTTTTAGCCTCCAGTCCCCTGATCACCTTTGTTGCTCTTCTCTGCAACCTGGAACTAAGGAGAAACTTCCTGACAGTGAGAACAATGAACCAGTGGAACCACCTGCCTCCGGAAGCGGTGAATGCTCCAACACTGGAAGTTTTTTAAGAAGAGACTGGACAGCCATTTGTCTGAAATGGTATAGGGTCTCCTGCCTGAGCAGGGGGTTGGACTAGATGACCTCCAAGGGTCCCTTCCAACTTTATTACTGTTACTGTTATTAATGGGGAGGTCTTGCGGGGATGGCTGTACTGCCCATGCTTGCCGGTGCCAAGAAAAGCCAGCCCAATCCTTTGTCCCATCTCACCATAAATATTGCCGAGTTTGTTCCAGTACGGGGAGGATCCCATCGGCCGCATCGGCTGGAAGACCTGGTGGTTGGCGGGCAGCTTGCGCACCACTTCCGTCACCTGGTGCAGCGTGACCAGGCGGGCGGCTTCGAAATGGCTCCTCAGCCCTCGGGAGACTTCCTGCCCTGCCAGGCTCAAACACGGGGCCAGGAGGCCGATGTTGAAATCCTGGGAAAAGGAGCAGGAAAGAAGCAGGAAGCCGTTTTGGGATATTTCCGACAGAGCGACGGAATTGTGTCCAGCCCGGCCTTTACACCCCTGCAGGTGAAATGCGGCTAGCTGGGTCCTATAGCAATTAGATATATTTATTTTTACATTTACAAGCAAACAAGTTTTAGAATTTTAGAGGCTTTCAAGAAGTGGCTAACGAAACTGTAAAACTGGGTTGCAACGTAAGCTTATACGCGCACAAAAATATATGGATATAATATATCTACAGTGTGGACACTGTCCATTTTTGTACGAAAAAAAACTTTTTTGTCGGCCATCTGTTGGACGTAAAAGCAACACACGCTAGCATTGTGAAATTAAACATATTACAAACGGGCGCTTTCTCTTTTATTTCTTTTCCATTTAACCAGACTGAGCCACAGCAACGCGTGGCCAGGTGCAACTAGTAAATAAATCAATCCCGGGAAGGTCCGAGTCCCCGGGGGGAGGGGGGGGCTCAGCCAATATATTGATCCGATTTCGTGGCGATCAAGATTTATAAGGGGAATTTGAAAATAACTATCAGGAATCTGCCTTGAACTATTCTTTAGCCCAGAAAATAGAGATGATGGATTTGAGACAATAAAGGTTATTCTATTTTGTAAGTGGTGATCTATTAGGACGAGAAATAGAAAATCTACACCGATTGCTTTGAAATTTTGACACAACGTTGCATTCGAATACGCGCGTGTTTTTATATACATGTACCTACTATTGTATAGATGTCACACCTGTGACAGGTAAAAACATGCTTTTTTTAAAAAAAAACAGCGCCATCTGTTGGACATAAAAGCAACACACTTCTTTTCCATTTAACCAGACTGAGCCGCAGCAACGCGTACAGCTAGTATTTTAAAAAGATACGGACGTGTGTGAAAAACATAACTGAATGAAGGACGTACGAATTTAAATTAAAATAGTAAAATTACATAGAAGATCCAATGAAAGCAAAACCTGTCACATTCACAAGATTCTTAGCTCCTCCGGGGAGGCTGAGTGCATCCAGGAGATCGTTAACATTTCCTCCTGGGGGGAAGACTGGGAAGCGATAGAGAAGTGTTACATGCTCGTGCTGTTGCTACCCGCGCTTGTAACATTTCCGACTACACAACGAAGTAAGAATCACAACATCCACGGAGATTCTCAATCATCCAGGACAATCATCGTTGTCCCAAAGGTGCTTTTTTTCGCTATGCCGTTTGGGATGAACACTGCTTTGAACGGTGCGGGCGCATGAACGGACTTCCAGAAAACATTGCACATCGCAGGAACTGTCTGCGCTTCGGTTTGAGATGCAGACCACACGGACTCATCCCCAACAGCCTGCGCCTGTCTCCAACCTTTTTAGAAGGGGCTTGCCATTGCCTACTTCCTAGGGCTGAGAGAAAGGGACTGGCCCAAGGTCACCCAGCTAGCTGTAGGCCTAAAATGAGACTAGAACTCACGCTGTCTTCAACAGGTAAAGGGATGAATGGATCCAGGGCAGGAAACATCCTGCAGCCAAGAAGGCTCCACACCCATTTGCACCACTCAGGTGACCCTGAGGACGCAGATAAACCTCCAAGTGGCCTCAAGGACTCTCTAAAAGGATGCAAATGACCAGCTGTCTGCAAGGAGTATAAATCCTTCCCTTCCCCCACCATCCAGTCAGAGCTGAAGAAGCTTCTGGGATGAGAAGCGAAATGTCTTCAAAGAAAAGCAAGTAAGTCTAGTTGAAAAAGCACCAGAGGACACAGGTAAACCTCCAAGTGGCCTCAATGACTCTCTAAAAAGGATGCAAATGACCAGCTGTCTGCAAGGAGTATAAATCCTTCCATTCCCCACCATCCAGTCAGAGCTAAAGAAGCTTCTGGAATGAGAAGGAAAAGGTCTTCAAAGAAAAACAAGAAAGTCCAGCGGCCTCTTGAAAAAGCACCACTGAGGACACATATAAACCTCCAAGTGGCCTCAACGACTTTCTAAAAGGAGGCAAATGACCAGCTGTCTGCAAGGAGCATTAATTGTTCCATTCCCCACCATTCAGTCAGAGCTGAAGAAGCTTCTGAGATGAGAAGCAAAACATTTTCAAAGAAAAGCAAGGAGGTCCAATTGAAAAAGCACCACTGAGGGCACAGATAAAACCCCAAGTGGCCTCAACGACTCTCTAAGAAGAATGCAAATGACCAGCTGTCTGCAAGGAGCATAAATCCTTCCATTTCCGCACCATCCAGTCAGAGCTGAAGAAGCTTCTGGGATGAGAAGCGAAACGTCTTCAAAGAAAAGTAAGTCTAGTTGAAAAAGCACTACTGAGGACACAGATAAACTTCCAAGTGGCCTCAACGACTCTCTAAGAAGAATGCAAATGACCAGCTGTCTGCAAGGAGTATAAATCCTCCCATTCCCCACCATTCAGTCAGAGCTGAAGAACCCTCTCGGATGAGAAGCGAAACGTCTTCAAAGAAAAACGAGAAAGTCCAATTGCCTCCTGAAAAAAAGCACCTTTGGGGTAAGAATCACAACCATTAAAAAAGCCCTTCCCCCCCTTCATGCTCCAACACGCGCCTTACCTGGTGCATCATAAAGGGAACCAGTTCTTGCTCAGGAAGCCGATTCATCAATTCGGCACCTTCTGGCAGACCGAAAGCTGATTTTGTGTAGCACTGGGACCTCACCAGCGAACAGTACCAATCCTTGTAGGGAAACGAAGGAGATCAGGAACACGTATTTGCATGGACGTGACTTGCCACGAATCAACTACCGTGTTTCCCCGAAAGTAAGGCCTACACCAACAATAAGCCCTAGCTTGATTTTGGAGGGTGGGCCTAATATAAGCCCTACCCCCCAAAATAAGCCCTAGTTTTGGGGCGAGGCACACACCTAAGAATCACGCTAGGGCAGGGGTGTGTGTGTGGAGCTGCCCCACCCGCCCTGCACCCGCTTCCCTTGCAGCCAGGCCTCTCCTCGCCGGCCCACGTCTTCTTCTGAGGCCTCTTCTGCAGCCAGGCCTGCATTTTTCAGTCACGGACCTTTCCGGAAGGCCTTATGCAGCCAAGAACTGAACTATGGATTCAATCCGTAGCTCGGTTCTGCAAGACCTCTGCAGCCGAGGGTACTCGGCTGCTTAGGTCTTCTGGAAAGTCCCGACTGCAAAACGCAGGCCCGAATGCAGCTGCAGAACTTCGGCCCCAGAAGAAGCGAACCGGCTGGGTGGCGCTGTCGGTGCCGGAGGTGAGGTAAAGCCTATCCAAAAATAACACCTGGTGCCTCTTTTGGAGAGGAAAAAAAAATAAGACCCTGTCTTATTTTCAGGGAAACATGATTTATTTAGTTATTTATTAAATTTATTGATCATCCATAACTCTTAAGGATAACTCTTAAGATATAATTTTGAGGGCTAGAGTGGACCAGGGCCAGAGACATTTCACAGCGGTTGCAAATACAATTTAAAAGGCAGCGGATTGATAGGAAAACAACCCAGCCTTACTTTGTCTGGAATTAAAGTTTCTAGAGCGGGATGGTTCCCCCCATCCAGGGGATGTGCCGTAACCAAAGGTGAGGGGCTAATGGTTTCCGGAGCCACCGTTAGACGAAACCGATCCAACAGGGAGTAGAGTCTTTGATGTCTAAAAAAACAAACAAAAAAAACCCCAGAAATCCACCAGATTAGAAACTTTGAGAAAGACCGAAGAGGGCAGGACAACTGTAGGAACAAAATACTGGCTTGCCAAGGAATCATTAAGACTTGAGAAAGAATTTCTGGAGTTGTGTTTCTCTTACTGAAGGAAAGATATTGGGCTTGTCGGCTTGAAAGCCGTCATCTGGGTTCAAGACCCGAGCGCCACGTAACGGGGTGAGCTCCTGTTCCTTGCTCCAGCTCCTGCTAACCTAGCAGTTTGAAAGCGTGCGAGTGCGAGTAGATAAATAGGTACCACTTTAGTGGGAAGGTAACAGCGCTCCGTGACGTCATGCTGGCCACATGACCGCGGAAATGTCTTTGGAGAACGCCGAATCAATGGGCTTGAAACGGAGATGAGCAGCACCCCTTAAAGTCGCCAAATGACTAGCGGAGTAAAATCCGCAGAGATTCCTTAGCCTTTTAGAGAAAGATTAAACGGGATTCATTTTCGGAGAGAGAGAAAAAGCTTTAAAACTATTTGGCCACTTTCCACACGTCAAATCCATTATGTCTCACCGGTGGGCTAGTCCAGTGTTCTGAAGATATTCCTGTATTCGGTCCAGCTCCTCAACTGGCAACTGAGCCGTACTGTTCTGTATATATGTATAAAAAAACAAAAAACAGGAAATGCAATGTACTCGCGCCAGTCTTGAGAATGAAATGTTGAAGTTGCTAACACTGGCCTTAAAATAAATGTAACTCTGAACGTCAGAGTGAAAACAACTCAACTCGTTTCTGATCTTAGTCTTAGGTTAAAATGTCAAGCGTAGGTTTTATGGATTAATTTATGGAACCGTACAAGGGTGGAATGCCCATCCTTCTAGGACAGGGGCAGGCAACCTGGGCTCTTTTATGACTCGTGGACTTCAACTCCCAGAATTCCTGAGCCAGCATGGCTCAGCTTGGAAACCTCTCCCTTTTCCCTCAGCATGGCTGGCTTAGGAATTCTGGGAGTTGAAGTCCACCAGTCATAAAAGAGCCAAGGTTGCCTACCCCTGCCATAGACAGTCACATGAGGTAGGTTAGGTTGAGAGATAAGAGGAGACCCAAAGCCCCATCAGGGCTGTGGTGGTGGGGGGGTGAGACTAAACCTCAACCTTCCCTGCGGCCAGCCTAGCGCTTGCCCAGATGACGCCACGGGGTACCTGCACAGACGCTGCTAAAAGCATTTCCACGCGACGGCAGGCCAGGGTGTCCACCATGTGGGCCAGCACACGGAAAGGAGTGGAGAGAAGCTTGTCCACGTACAAGACCAGCACGGCCCCCGACTGGCTCAGATGGATGCCCTCCAAGCACTGCAGGGTCTTCTTTACCGCTGTCGGCTAAACAGGGGAGAAAACCTCTTTTAGAGTCTTTGTCCAGGCTAATCGAAGTAAAAGCATCCCAATCTGACTTTTTAAAATAAGTTAAAACCTCCGTAGCTTTGCTTACCCGTAACCCACACACCAATTTCACACCAATTTGGCCCAAAAAGACACTTCCCCCCCACCCCTGGGGATTAAGAAGAATGGGTTGAGCCTCTGGATGGATTCTGGGACCGATTCTCATCTGTTCAGAAAACCGGCAGTGCGAATACAGGCAGTCTCGACTTACGAACAATATTTCTGTTGTGAAGCCAGCCAGTTGCTAAGTGATTCTTAGTCATTAAGCGGATCACCGCAGTTGTTAATGTTAGGAACACGGTTGTTAAGTGAATCTGGCTTCCCTCGTTGACTTTGCTGGTCAGAAAGTCTCAACAGGGGATCACGTGACCCCCGGGGACACTGCAACCGTCATAAATACGAGTCATGTCAAGGTAATGATTTAAAAGCTAACCAGCTGATGTATGATGTAATGATAGGAATGACTCAGCAGGGTCTGTGTCCCTTGAAGAGCCTTCGTATAAAAGGGAAGGCTCTGCTGCTGGGTTCTCTCTCTTCCGTTTTCCTGCTGTAACTGCTGTGTGTTGGAGCCTGCTGTATTAGCACGTGTATGTATATTGTTCCTGGTGTATGGTATTGTAGATAGTGTAAGATAAGCCACCATTTAATACAGACCACTGTGTTTACTCCTGGGTTATCTCAGCGCAATAAGACTGTGCATGCTCTGACAAGTCAGTTGCCAAGCATCCAAATTTTGATCACGTGACCACCGAGATGCTGTTAACGGCCGTGTGGAAAATGTCCACGGGTCCCTTTTTTCAGTGCCATTGCCACTTTGAACGGTCAGTAAACGGACCGTCGTTAAGTCAAGGACTGCCTGCAGCTATCCGAGCTCTTCTCCCACCAAGCAGCCAGACCGTCAGCAAAGAAACCAAGGGCAGTAGACGTTCTACAACAGCACCAGGTTCAATTGGACCGATAATAAGATTTCATAGTCCTGTATACCAAGGGTCCCCAACCCCCGGGTCGCGGCATGCCAGCAACCGGTCCGCACAAACAAGCAAAGCCCCATCCACGGGATACAGGCAGCACACAGAATCACACACACTCTCCGGTCCGTGGAAAAACCTCTCTCCACGGAACCGGTCCCTGGTGCCCAAAAAGTTGGGGACCTCTGCTGTATACGGTTATGTTTATGGTAATTAATTCTGGCCGCAGGACATGCTTATCGCTAAGAATAAAGATCAGGAGAATCTAGGCAGCCAGTAAGTCAGAGGAAAAGCGACAGGGCATTTACACATTCCTGAGTTTTTGTGTAGTCGATGTGGATGCCCGGTGACTGTTTGCAGAGGCTCCTACAGAGTTTTTTTTGGCCAGAATCTAGAGGTGACTTTCTCTTGCCTTCATCTTAGGGCTGAGAGAGAGAGGGACCGGCCCGAGGTCGGTCACCCTAGTGACCAGCTTCATGCCTCAGGCAGAATTAGAACTCACGTTTCCCAATTTCTAGCCAGGTGCCTTTGCCAGAACAAGCAATGGCCAAACGATTGCTAGATGTTGCCTCCTGCTTCGTGAGCCTCAATAATTGAAGTATGTTGCTTTCTTTTAAACATGAATATCTTTCTTTTTTTTTTTTTTTTACCGCAGAAACAGGAGGTGTGGTTTGCGCAGGAGTTCGGCCTCAGAGAAAATCAATCTTGAGACCGCAAAAAACTTACAGAGGCGAAGTTCTCACATCGTGACTGGATAGCCTGGATGAAAAGCCCGCTGGCGGCCGAGTTTCTGTGAATGGCGCTTATAAAATCCTGGACCGGGGGTTCATGAGACAGACTGATCAGTTCCTGGACGTGATTCACGGTCAGCCAGGTTAAGTGCTCGGAGTCGTGCAGGTTTTGGCACTGTGGGAAGAAATGGGATCGATTGACATGGAGCGGAAGGAACGACAGGGTGTCAGGGAAGACTTTCCCAAAGCGCCTGAAGGCCGGACAAGAAGCAACGGATGGAAAATAATCAAGGAGAGAAGCAACCTGGAACTAAGGAGAAACTTCCTGATAGTTAAAACAATTAACCGGTGGAACTATTTACCTCCAGAAGTTGTGAATGCTCCAACACTGGAGGTTTTTAAGAAGAGACTGGACAACCATTTGGTATAGGGTCTCCTGCCTGAGCAGGGGGGGTTGGACTAGAAGACCTCCAAGGTCCCTTCCAACTCTGTTATTCTGTAAATGTAGACAGAGTCTCTGGGTCTCTTTCTCTTGCTTTCCCCCCTTGTCTGGATGAAGATGCTTTTTCTGTAACAGACATGCTCGCTGCTAGATATCCCAGCATCCTAGAAAGCTTGAGCCGGTCAGGATCGAACTGCTGGCATTGGGCAGAGTTACCTTGCAATACTGCATTCTAACCACTCGGAAGGAAGGAAGGAAGGAAGGAAGGAAGGAAGGAAGGAAGGAAGGAAGGAAGGAAGGAAGGAAGGAAGGAAGGAAGGAAGGAAGGAAGGAAGGAAGGAGAAAAGGTAGAGATCTAGCAATAGCACTTAGACTTATATGCCGCTTCACAATGCTTTACAGCCCTCTCTAAGCGGTTTACAGAGTCAGCCTGCTGCCCCCAACAATCTGGGTCCTCATTTTACCGACCTCGGAAGGACGGAAGGCTGAGTCAACCTTGAGACTGTTAGGATATCGAACTGCTGGCAATGGGCAGAATTAGCCTGCAATACTGCATTCTAGCCACTGTGCCACCATGGGAGGGAGGGAAGGAGTGAGGGAGGGAAGGAAGGAAAGAAGGAAGGAAGATAGCAATAGCACTTAGACTTATATACCGCTTTATAGCGCTTTACGGCCCTCTCTAAGCGGTTTACAGAGTCAGCCTCTTCCCCCCCCCCCCGCAACAATCTGGGTCCTCATGTTACCGACCTGGGAAGGACGGAAAGCTGAGTCAACCTTGAGACGGTCAGGATCGAACTGCCAAACTGCAGGTAGCTGGCAGTCAACAGAAGCAGCCTGCATTACGTCATTCTAACTACTGCACCACCACGACTCAGTACTAGACCTGCCCATGGTTCACCAGGTGCAATTGAAGATGCTGGCTGCTATCTACAAAGTCCTTATGAGAGGACTGGAAACTTGAGAGTCTTAAAATCAGCCACGGCAGTTTGGATAATTCTTTGCACAAAAAAAGAAAAAGTGAGGGGGGGTGAGGAACATGTTCTAAAGAAAACAGGAACACGGCCCTCGTTGGCCATCCTCAGAGCTTACCACATAGTCACAAAACAGGATGAGGGATCCCCTCCGCACGATCTCTCGGTTGCAGATGCTAAGTTTGGCGCCCCCGTCTTCTGCCCGGGGACCCCCGCAGGCTTGAGGGCTGAGCAATTTAGCACTCGATAGGGTCTGCCTTCTGGAAAAGAGAAGGAAAAACTTTTAACTGCACAATCCAGGAGTAAAATAGCCAGAGAGAAATAAGGAAGAAACAGATAGGAAAATCTGCCGGGATAAAGGCAGCCGGCTAGTGAGAAGCGGGTCCAGCAGCCAGGAACGGAACCCGAAGGACGATGGGTTGGATTCAGGTCAGTGGCAGATCACCAGAGAAGCTCAGATGTTGGTTCCTCTATGCCAGAGGTCCTCAATCTATGGGCCACGGCCCAGTAGAGTGGAGGCCACACCCCGACTTGCGGTAGCACCATGGCCGTGGGTGCGAAAACAGGACGCTGCTGCGCCTTGGGGTGCAAAAACGGGACGCCACTGTGCCGCAAAAAAACGGGACACCGCTGCGCTGCGGAAAAATAGGATGCTGCCGTGCCGCAGGGCGCCAAAATGGGACACTGCCGAGCTGCGGGGTGCAAAAACGGAAGGCGCTGTGCTGCGAAAGAATGGGGCAGGGCTAGTATCACGCATGCTCACAGCCCCATGTGTGTGTGTGTGTGTGTGTATAGAATTAAGCCATGACATCGGCTGGATTGGAGCAGGATATCTATATATCTATAGATAGATAGATAGATAGATAGATAGATAGATAGATAGATAGATAGATAGATAGATAGATAGATAGATAGATAGATAGATATAGATATAAATAGATTAGATAGATAGATAGATATAGATATAAATAGATATAGATAGATAGATAGATAAATATAGATATAAATAGATATAAATAGATATAAATAGATTAGATAGATAGATAGATAGATAGATAGATAGATAGATAGATAGATAGATAGATAGATATAGATATAGATATAAATAGATATAGATAGATAGATAGAGATAGATAGATACACATATACATACACACACACACATATCTCCAACCTGAACAACTGAGGAATCCAAATCCATCTATCAATCTAGTCACACAGTCACCGTATCATTGAGATGGGCCGCATAAAAACTTAATTAAATAAATTTAATTAAAATATACATACATGTATATTTTTACACCCAGTTGATGCCACGGCTTAACTCTCAATCCACCTTACCAGCATCGAACTAGCACGTTCCAGGCTTAGGACTTGACAAAAACAAAAGCTGAGATGTTTGCATTGTGCATCGAACACCCCTCTGGAAACAAAGCCTGCTGGACAACATAAATCAATCCCAAACTTCTACGTGGCCTCTATCCAGATGACTCCTTAGCCAAAACGTCCTACCCAACTGTAGCCAACAAGCCACCAAGGAAGGGGGGGGGGGAGAAACTGCCCCAAGGAACCTCGAGCTTCCTTACAACTAGACTTGTCCTAGTGGACAATCCCTTAAATATGAGCCAGCCGTGTGCTGCAGCTGCCAAAAAGGCCAACACAGTGCTGGGCTGCATTAACAGAGGGATAGAATCAAGATCACGTGAAGTGTTAGTACCACTTTACAAGGCCTTGGTAAGGCCACACTTGGAATCCTGCATCCAGTTTTGGTCACCACGATGTAAAAAAGATGTTGAGACTCTAGAAAGAGTGCAGAGAAGAGCAACAAAGATGATTAGGGGACTGGAGGCTAAAGCATATAAGGAAAGGTTGCTGGAATTGGGCATATCTAGTTTAATGAAGAGAAGGACGAGGGGGGACAGGATAGCAGTGTTCCAATATCTCAGGGGCTGCCCCAAAGAAGAGGCAGTCAAGCTATTCTCCAAAGCGCCTGAAGGCAGGAGAAGAAGCAGTGGATGGAAACTCACCAAGGAGAGAAGCAACCTAGAACTAAGGAGAAACTTCCTGACAGTTAGAACAATTAACCAGTGGAACTACCTGCCTCCAGAAGCGGTGAATGCTCCAACACTGGAAGTTTTTAAGAAGAGACTGGGCAGCCATTTGTCTGAATTGTTATAGGGTTTCCTGCCTGAGCAGGGGGCTGGACTAGATGACCTCCAAGGTCCCTTCCAACTTTACTATTATTATTATTATTATTATTATTATTATTATTATTATTATTATTATTATTATTATTATTATTATTAATTATTATTATTATTATTATTATTATTATTATTATTATTATTATTATTATTATTATTATTTATTATTATTATTATTATTATTATTACTTTCTGGGTGATCCAGTTCTTCAACAGGAAGGAGAACTGTGAAATGGGAGCAGGAAAACAAAACAGCTCTCACGTTAGCTGCTAAAATTGGAATTAGGAGTAATTTCCAGCGGGGAAAGAGTTTTTGAAATCCACACGGCGTGAACGTTTGTACACCGGAGGCAAGATTTGAAAAGCCAGGGGCGGCGTCTGAAAACCAGGAAGTAACCTTTGGTTTGGACCAAGAAAAAGACCGGAAAAACAGCCTTACTTGGGCGTCTGATGAACTTTGGACCACCAGCAGGAGTCGGTGTAGTTCACAAGCAGCAAGATTTGACACCAGAGAAGGACCAGCGATGGGTGGGTGGCTATCATGGACTTGACGAGGTCGTTTAATCTCTCCAGGGTGTAGAAACGGAGACCGTGGGGTCCGTTCCCTGTAAAAAGCTTGGTAGCTGCAGCTGTGATTCTTCGGAACATTCCTGTTAACCCCGAAACAATAAAAAACAACACATTATTGTAAATAAGTTCCAACCGATAAGACAACGGTCTTATTTGGGGGGGGAGACAGAGTCGCGTGAAGGGGGGCAAGAAAAGGGATGAGGAGTACCTGATTTGAAGGTATGAATTAAGCAGATGAGAAGGGTGCCCAGTTCCTGGCAGTAGAACGTGTGTTGCTGCTCGCTCATCTCCACGTGCAACTGTTTGCTCGTGATGTCTTCCAGGAGGATTCCCACCAGCTGCATTAGGAATCTGAAGAGGGAGAGAGACGTAGAGGCCGGGCGCTAAGCACAGAAAAGATAAACGGCGACTGTGCCAAGAGGAGAAAAAGAAAACCTATTTGCACAGCCAGCCGTGCGGGGCGTACATCAAGCTTCTTTCAATCCACCCAAATAGAGCTGGAAGGGACCTCGGAGGTCTTCTAGGCCAGGGCTTTTCAACCTTTTCACCCATTGTACCACTTTTAGGATATGGCAACATCCGAGGACCACCAGTCGCCTAGCAAGGTGTCAAAAACTTGATGACCCCCCCAAAAAGGAAAAAAGTGATAAAGTACAGACAGTCCTCGACTTACAACAGTTCGCTTAGTGACTGTTGGAAGTTACAATGGCACTGAAAAAAGTGCCCCCCAAGCCACAGCTGAGCAAGACACCTGCCTGCCCACCCGGCGGCGCTCTTCCTCCTGTCCGAGGTTTCCGTTGTTGTGAGCATTTCTGTTGAGGATTGGCAGTGGGGGTGGGGTGGGGTGGGGTGTTTGGTTTTTATTCCCCCCCCCCCCCGTCTGCTGGGTGGTTGCAGCAGGTTTTGGTCCCTTCACATGACCCTGGGACACTGTGACGGTCATAAATATGAACCAGTTGCCAAGCATCTGAATGTAAATCACAAGACCCTGGAGAGGCTGCAACATTCCAGCTGATCGGCTCTTCTTCTGGGCTCAGCAGAAGCACCAGGATTAGCGCTGAGCTCCAGCTGGATCCTGGCGCTGATCCTGGCGCTTCTGCTGAGCCCTGACAGCCCTGCAGCTCCAGCCGTCTCTCGCTCAGGCTTGTGTGGTGCTGCCACCGGTTCAGCTCATTCCCCTCCCCTGCTACCCCTTTTCTAGGATGGTCGTGTACCACCTGCCAGGTGCCAATGTACCACAGGTGGTACCCGTACCACTGGTTGAAATGCCCTGATCTAGTCCAACCCCCTGCTCAAGCACGAGATCCTATACCATTTCAACCAATCACTCCATCCATCCATCCATCCATCCATCCATCCATCCATCCATCCATCCATCCATCCATCCATCCATCAAAATAGAGCTGGAAGGGACCTTGGAGGTCTTCTAGTCCAACCCCCTGATCAAGCAGGAGATCCTAGACCATTTCAACCAATCACTCAATCAATCCATCCATCCATCCATCCATCCATCCATCCGAATAGAGCTGGAAGGGACCTTGGAGGCCTTCTAGTCCAGCCCTCTGCTCAAGCAGGAGACCCCATGCCATTTCAGACAGGTGTTTTGCCTTCTTCAAGGTTACATTGATTATGCAGGTAGGGTACTAACTGATCAACTGCAGGGATTCCCTTAGCAACGGAGGCAAGAAAAGTCGTAGAATGGGGCAGGACTCATTGAACGACTATCTCGCTTAATGACAGAAACTTGGAGCTCAACCTCTTATTAGCGCTGCAGATTTTCTGAGCCGGTGAGAATCCAGAGGCTCTGCCTGCTCCTCTCAATCCCCAGAAAAAAATGGGGGGAAAGAAGAGTCTTTTTGGGCCAAGCTTCCCTTCCAAATTTGTGTGAAATCTGTGTGAGCTACAGGTAGACAAAAAGGGACGGAGGCCGTAAGCTGAGGACTACCTGCGTACATTTTCCTCAATTCCTCCTTTATCTTTTTCTTTTTTAACGATTTAAAATAAATAAAAAAAATAGCAGCGGCTCCTTAAATCGATTTTTATACCTGGAAAAGGTCTCTTCGGGCAGGAAGCGCTCGTGCTCCTCCGGGGGGGTCTCCTGCGCTCCGGGAACGTTGTTTCCCCCGTTCCTCAGCCGGTGAATCGCCTGGCAGGAGATGAGCCGGGGGGAAAAGGAGAGCTCCTGGATGCGGGAAAGGACGATGTCTTCCGTGGACTGGGAAATCAAGACCCGCAGAATGGCCAGAATGCCGGAGACCCATAACTGGACGGTGCTCACGGACGCCTATTGAGAGGGAGAGAGAGGGGGAGAGTGGGAGACTCAGACAAAGTGTGAATTATTTAAATTACTCCTTCCTTCCTTTCCTTTCCTCCCTCCCTTCCCCTCTCCCCTTCCTCTGCCCTCCGTCTCCCCTTCCCTTCCTCTCCCCTTCCCTCTCTCCTTCCTTTTTCCCCTCTCCTCCCCTCCTTCCCTTCCTCTCCCCTTCCCTTCATCTCCCTTTTCCTTCCCTTCTTCTTCTCCCCTTCCCTTCCTCTCCCTTCTCCTTCTTCTCCTTCCTCTCCCCCTCCCTCCGCTCCCCTCCTTCCCTTCCTCTCCTCTTCCCTTCCCTTCCTCTCCCTTCTTCTTCTCCCCTTCCCTCTTTCCTCTGCCCTCTCTCCTTCCCTTCCTCTCCTCTTCCCTCTCTCCTTCCTTTTTCCCCTCTCCTCCCCTCCTTCCCTTCCTCTCCCCTTCCCTTGTAGAGGGAAAAGGAAGGAAAGAAGAAGAGGGGAAGGGAGGCGAGGGGAGGAAGGGAAGGAGACCTCTTCCCTTCCTCTCCCTTCTTCTTCTTCTTCTTCTTCTTCTTCTTCTTCTTCTTCTTCTTCTTCTTCTTCTTCTTCTTCTTCTTCTTCTTCTTCTTCTTCTTCTTCTTCTTCTTCTTCTTCTTCTTCTTCTCCTTCTTCTTTTTCTCCCCTTCCCTCCCTCTCCCCTTCCTTTTTCCTCCCCTCCTTCTTTTCCTCTCCCTTTTCCTTCCCTTCTTCTTCTCCCCTTCCTTCCCTTCCTCTCCCCTCCTTCCCTTCCTTTGCCCTTCCCTTCCTCTCTCCTTTCCTCCCTCCCCTCCCCACTTGTTCACTTCCCAAAAGGAACGCAGTTTATCGGTCAGGGCATGCACTTGGATAAGTAACAAAACAAATGCACAGCCATTTTCCCCCGGAAGCGAAGGGGGCCGAGCCCGAGAGGCATTCCCACAGCCGAGCAGAGGAACACCTGCCGCTAAGCACAGGGCCAGCTGTTGACCGACTGGATTTACTCCCTGCTTTTCTGCGGGAGCTGCAGGTGTCCCCAAGGGGGGAGGGTCCTTCCTGCTATTTTTTTTAATCTCCCCTCACCACGACCCCCTTGCAAAGAGAGGGACTGGCCCAAAGGGAACTTGCAGGGCTGAGGACGGGGGGGACCCAACAGCCAGGAAAGGAAAGAGGGCAGAGCTGGGCACGTCCTGCGCCGGGACGGGGCAGCCCCGCCCGCCTTTCCCCCTTGGCTGGCTGCCCCCTCCTTACCATCGTGCTGGGCGTGACGAACATGCTTCGCAAGAGCATGTCCACGGGGCGCAGGGCGGAGGGGGCCAGGATCTCAAACAGAGTGTTCAGTATCCCCAGAGCTTCGTGGGAATCGATCTGCATCTAGTTAAAAAAAAAAAAGAGGAACAAACCAAAAACACGACGGGATCAACCGGGGCTGCGGTCAGCAGAGATTTGAATAAATAAATAAATAAAAAGAACCGTCTTATCGTACAGGTAGTCCTCGAGTTACGGCCGCAACCGAGCCCCCCCCCCCAATTTAGGCTGCTGAGCGAAACGTTTTGTTCAGCGAGTCGTCGCCCCGCTTTGCGTCTTTTTTTTTTTGGCCCCGGTCAGAAGACAGAAGGGAGTGGAATAACAAAAGAGTTGGGAAGGGACCTTTGAGGTCTTCTAGTCCGGCCTCCCTACGCCACTCCAGGCAAAAGGCGGTCCGGGGTTTTTCTTCACAGCCTGTGGAGCACCCACAACTTTTGAAGGGAAGTGGTTGCAGTTGTTAAGAGAGTGACCCGGTGGTTAAGCGAATCCAGCTGCCCCCACTGACGCTGCCTGTCAGAAGGTCGCAAAAGGGGATCACGTGACCCCCCAAGGACACCGCAACCGTCATAAATACGAGTCAGTGGCCAAGCGTCGGGATTTTGATCACGTGACCGGGGAGAGGGTGCGACGGTCGTAAGTGTGAAAAACAGTCTTAAAGTCACTTTTTTTTCCAGTGCCGAACCGTCACTAAATGAACGGCTGTAAGGCGAGGACTACCTGTACTTAATTCTGAGTTTGGGGCTGTGAAAATTCGACACTGGTTCAGCCGGGGAGGTGTGTGAAGCCCCTGGCAGAGGGAAACCCCAAACCGAAGGGCGTCCTTCTCTGCTGGAAAGGGCCACAGCAGCTTTTCAACAGAACAGAACAGAACAGAATAAACAGAACAGAGAATAGAGTAGAGTAGAATAAAATAGAATAATGGAATGCAGAATAGAATAGAATAGAATAGAATAGAATAGAATAGAATAGAATAGAATAGAATAGAATAGAAGAGAGAATAGAATAGAATAGAATAGAATAGAATAGAATAGAATAGAATAGAATAGAATAGAATAGAATAGAATAGAACAATGAAAGAATGGAACGGAATAGAATAGAATAGAATAGAGAATAGAATAGAATGGGAATGGGAGTAGAGTAAGAGAATAAAATAGAATATGGAATCGAGTAGAGAAGAGTAGAGTAGAATAAAAATTAGAATAGAATGGAATGGAATAGAATGGGAATGGGAATGGGAATGGGAATGGGAGTAGAGTAGAGTAGAGTAGAGTAGAGTAGAGTAGAGTAGAGTAGAGTAGAGTAGAGTAGAGTAGAATAGAATAAAAATTAGAATAGAATAGGAATAGAATATATAGAATAGAATAGAATAGAATAGAATAGAATAGAAAATAGAATAGAATAGAATAGAATAGAATAGAACAGAATATAGAATGGGAATGAAATAGGATAGAATAGAATAGAATAGAAAAGAACAGAACAGAATAGAATAAGAAGAGAGAATAGAATAGAATAGAATAGAATAGAATAGAATAGAAAATAGAATAGAATAGAATAGAATAGAATAGAATAGAACAGAATATAGAATGGGAATGAAATAGGATAGAATAGAATAGAATAGAAAAGAACAGAACAGAATAGAATAAGAAGAGAGAATAGAATAGAATAGAATAGAATAGAATAGAATAGAATAGAATAGAAAATAGAATAGAATAGAATAGAATAGAATAGAATAGAATAGAATAGAATAGAATAGAATAGAACGGAGTAGAATAGAATAGAATAGAATAGAATAGAATAGAACAGAACAGAACAGAACAGAACAGAATAGAACGGAGTAGAGTAGAATAGAATAGGAGAATGGAATAGAATAGAATATAGAATAGAATAGAAAATATGAAATGGAATGGAATAAAATAGAACAGAACAGAACCTTACTAAATGTCTCCCTCAATGGCCATTTGCCACCAAAGGTAAACCCTCACCTGTTGTTTGGCCAGCATTGGCAGGATGATGTCTGCTACCTGTCGCGACAGCCTCTTCCACTTCTCCTCGTTCTCTCGGTGACACTGTTGCAGCACCAGGATAAACATCTCCAGCACCTGCGGGCGAAGAGGAGGCGGCACACAGAACAGGCTGCTTTCACACAAGCAAAAGGAATTTTCCCAGCGTCCATCTTGCACCTTAACGCTCCTCTTTCCCCTCCCCAACGCAGGCAGTCCTCGACTTAACGACCGCAAGGGAGCCCAAAATTTCTGCGGCCAAGCGAGACATTTGTTAAGTGAGTTTTGCCCTGTTTTACCACCTTTCCTGCCTCAGTTGTTCAGTTGTTAAAGTGAGTCACCCGGTTATTAAGTCAATCTGGCTCCCCCACTGAACTTTGCTGGCCGGACGCTCCGCCAAAGGGGGTCACAGCAACGGTCGTAAATAGGAACCGGTTGCCGAGCCTCTGAATTTGGATCACGTGATCCTGGGGCAGCTACAACGGTTGCTAAGTGTGAAAAATGGTCGTAAGTAGTTGGATTTTCTGTCAGTTTTTATGTCCGTGGAGATTCTCGGTCATCCAGGTCCTGGTGGTCACAAAACTGCTTTTTTAAAAGGCATCTGAACTTTGTTTTTCGTTTTTTCCTTGAAAACTTTTCGCTTCCCACGGAAGAAGCTTCTTCGGTTCTGACTGAACGGTGAAGAACGCAAGGGGACTCCGAGGGCACCGATCCAAGTGGCCTCAACGACTCTCAGAGAGAGCGCTAACGACCCCACGACTGCAAGGACTATAAACCCTTCCATGCGCCACCATTCAGTCAGACCCGAGGAAGCTTCCTAGATGAGAAGCGAAACGTCTTCAAGGGGGGGGGGGGAAAAACACCGTAAGAAAGTCCGGTTGCCTTTTGAAAAAGCACCTTTGTGGCTCTCGGTTCATATGAAAAGATGTCTGGCTAAGCTCTGCTCTCCGGAGCGCAAGGCAACGGTGGGCACCTCCCGGGACCTCCAGGTTTTACGTTTAGGCCTACTCAATCTTGGGCGTTACCCAAGGTTTACGTGAAGGTGGTTCGGGATCTCTGCAGTCAGAGGAACTG